GGAAGGTAGGTAGGTAGGTTGGATGGATGGATGGATGGATGGAGGGATGGATGAGTGGGTGGGTGGGTGGGTGGATGGATGGGAGGGAGGGAGGAAAGGAGGGAGCAGGAATCGATTGGAAGAAGACTGGGTTGGTAAGTAGGTAGATGGATGTGTGAGAAGGCCTCGGTCGGTTGAGTGGGTGGGCTCACAGATGTCTGGGCCTCTTCACATGACTTTGTTCCTGGTACGAATGGGGGACCTGTTGTCTTGATACTTGTTCTTGGAGAATGGAAGGCTTCTCTTGGAAATAGTCAGCGGTGGGAACATCCGGGAACCTAGGAACGGTGACAACACATGGCACCTAGCTTCCCAGCCTAAGGCTTCTCTCGGGATTGGGCTGTCACCCAAGAGTTGGGCCGATACTGTGTCCTCTCCTCCCTGCGGGGAAGTGCCAGGGGAGGGCTGGTGGCAGGTCTCCTTAGGTAGAATGTGCTTCCGGGTGGGCCCGAGCTCCCCCTCTGGTACCCTCTCACACGGGCTCCCCGGTCCCCCTGCAGACCTGTGTGAGGAGGAGGAGTTCAAGGTGCTTCTGCTGGAGCTGAAACACAAGCACGACGTGATCATGAAGTCCCAGCTGAGGCACAAGTCCTCCCTGAGCCGGAGGACGTCCAGCGCCGGCAGCCGCGGGTGAGTTGGGGGCCGGACAGCCAGACCTGCCCATGCTCGCTCTGCCCATGGCATCCGGGACACAGCCACCCAGCCTCCCCTGTGTCCCCTCAGGAAGGTGGTGCGTCGAGCCAGCCTGTCGGACAGGACCAACCTGTACCGGAAGGAGTACGAGGGCGAGGCCATTCTGTGGCAGCAGCGCAGTGTGGCTGAGGATCAGCGGGCCTCGGCCTACAACGGGGACATCAGGGAGACCAGGACGGACCAGGAGAACAAGGACCCTGTAGGTGGCCCTGCCCCTCCCCCCAACACCCCCAGTGGCAGCTGCTGCCCTGGCAGGAAGCTAGCCTCCCAGCCTGGTCGTGGCTCCTCATCTCAGAGCCTACAGAGCGGACTTAGCTGGGTGGTGCCCCTAGTCCACCAGGAGCCGTCTGAAGGGCCGTGGGGACTGTGGCTCTGAGGTGATCCAAGGCGGCCCACCCTGCCCTGGGGTTGTAGAGCCAGAGTGGAGACCTGGTGGAACTGTCTGCAAGCAGGAGGGTCGTAACCTGGGGTCTGCCTGGGGTGCATTCTGTTTCACGGCTGCGTAGAATTCCGAGGCTTGAATGGACTGCAGCCTCTCTGTCCATTTCTCCAACCGTGGGCATTTCCGTTGTTCCCAATCGTGGGCGACCAGGAACACAGCCTCTAGGAACTCACCTATGTTTCCTGGCGGCTCAGAAGCACAGTCTGGGCCGTGGGGTGGGCGTTTGTTTAGTGTTCATAGATGTGACCAAGCAGTCTTCCGAAGGGCCTGCACCCGCCTGTCCTCCTGTGGTTGGCAGGGCATACGAGTTTCTTGCTAACCCTTGGTCTGTCCAGCCCACGGGTCAGCAAACAAAGCTCGGCTCGAGAGCCACATGCGGCTCGTTCGGTACACGCACGTGGCTCTGAAGTCAGACGGCACATCTTTAAAGGGTGGCTTCCAGATCATGGCCATTTCCGTTGTTTCTAAAACTACACTTATGGCTCGTTCAGAAGTTTTCAATTGTTGGGAGGGACAGGATGGGTTCTTCCACCTCGAAAGTTTTCCGGCCCCTGGTGTAGCCGGTACTTCCCATTTGCACCACCCTGGCCCAGCGGGTGCTGGAGTGACTCCCATCGTCCATCCGTGTCTCCCTGGCGACAGGTGGGCAGTGGCGGGCACGTTTTCAGGTGCTTCTCAGCCGTGTTGCTTTGGCACAACATCTTATCCTGTTTTGCTCATTTTGGGGGTTTTGTTGTTGTTGTTGTTGTTGGGTTCCTTAGCTTTTTCATGACAGATTGGCAGGTGGGGCACAGACCCTTCAGGAATCCTCCTGAGAGCAGCTCTCCCTCCCTCTCTTCACTGAGAGCTCTCAGGCCAGGGGCTCCTTGATGAAAAGCTCCAGTGGGAAAACTCATTGCCCCTGAGCCGATTCCAACTCACAGTGACCCCCGGGATAGAGGAGGACTGCCTCCGCCGTTTCCCAAGGCTGTAACTCTTTACATGAGCAGAAAGCCTCCCCTTTCTCCCTCGGAGCAGTTGGCGAGTTTGAACCACTGACCTTGTGGTTAGCAGCCCAACACATAACCCACTGCACCCCCAGGGCTCCCTGATGTGACTTCTCAAATGCACATCCTTGCTGCGACTGGAGACTGGCAGTCCTGACTGTTGTTGATTCTGCTCTCAGGCCACCTCGTTAGGCTGCAGTCTTCTTTGGGCTGTTGAAGGCAAACAGATAATGGGCTACTTTGCCTTTGGAGTTGGGTTTCAGGCCTGGGGAGGAGGAGAGAGGGTGCCGTGCCAGTGGCGGGCTGTCCTTTGTTCCAGTCTAAGGGTGCCTGTCATATGCATGGCCCAGATTCCGGCCTCTGCCTTGGAGAAACAAGCTCCAGGGTCCTATGAAGTCACAAAGCTCGGAGCCTTTCTTTCCCTCCCCCACAGGAATGCAGCCAACTCCAAGGTAGGGATGCTCCAAGTGCAGTCCCTGGACCAGCAGCATCAGCATGGCCCAGGCCCTTGTTTGACATGCAGATTCTCAGGCCCCACCCCAGACCTTCTGCCTCACAAACCCGGGCTGGAGCCCAGAAGTGTAGGGCTCCAGTCCTGGTGATTCTGATTCACACAAGAGTTTTGTGAATGACTTGGGCTAGGCATTGGGCTGCTACCCACGCAAGGTTGGTGGTTCAAACCCACCAGCCACTTTTGGGGAGCAAGCTGAAGCTGTCTGCTCCTATGAAGACATATACCCTCCAGAACCCTATAGAGGTGGCCGCTGTGAGCTGGAAACAACTCAATGGCAGTAGGTTTGATTTTGGGTGCTTGATTTAAGAGGCCCCCAGGTCAGAACAGGCTCTTGCCAAGGCTCTGGCAATGCCAAGCTGGCTCTGGTGCAGCACTTGGCTGGGAGGACGCCTCAGTACTGGGCACACTGGTGTGAAGGTAGGCCCTGCCTCCAGCTGTGGCTTGTATAAGCTTAACTCCATACTGTCACCACCAGAATAGGCCTTCTGTTTGGTTCCAGCCCTGGGCGCTGGGCTGCAGATGAAATTCAAAGCTTGGGTTGAACCCTGAGCATTGTGTATTCTGGTGTGTGTTTTTGCCTTCCCGAGTAAGCCCCTGGGTACAGCCAAGGTCCCTGCCACCTCAAGCATTGGCTCGAACTTCCTTAGAATGCCAAGGGTCTGGCCCTAGAATGTACACTTTATTAAGACTTGTATTAACATCTGAGATGTGTTGACTTAGGCTCCTAAAAGTCTGCACGCCTCCCCCCAGCCTCTCCCCATCACTCTGCCTGCATACTTAAGAAGGTCCATAAAAAAAACCAAAAATGCACACACGTGCACATGCGCACACACATATCAAACATTCCCCCACCTCATCATGTTCTAACCTAGTTATATATTTCTTGGGTCTCTTTCCATGCCAGCGCGTGCCGATTCCTGCTTGTCCTCGGCAGCTACAGAGCAGAGCATTCCTGCACCTGCACTCCCCACAGTTATCACTGGTCCAAAGGCTTTGGGGCTTTGCTCCCATGAGCAAGTCCATCTGCGGAATGAAGTCCTGGCAATGGAGTTGCTGGGCAGAGCACTCGTTCTCCCACCTCCTCCCTTGATTCAGGTGAATACATAATGCTAAGTGTCCTCCAGAGAGGCTGTGGCGATTGGCTCACACTCCCGCCCGTGTTTTCATATCTTGGTCAACAGGGAGCAAAGAGCTTTCAAAACATTTTCCAGTGTGATAGGTACAAATGATGCTTAAAGGTTGTTTTGTTTTTTATGTCACTGGTTATTAGGTTAAAAGGAGCCCTGGTGGCTTAGTGGTGACGTATTGGGCTGCTGACCGCAAGGTCAACAGTTGGACACCACCAGCCGCTCCTCGGAGGAAGTCGGGGCTTGCTACTCCCATAAAGAGTCAGTGTCAGAAAACCACAAGGGGGCAGTGCTGCCCTGTTCTGTGGGGTCGCTATGAGTCGGCATGAACTTGATGGCAGTGTGTTTGTTTGTTTGTTTGGTGGTGTTAGGTTGAGTAGTATCTATCTGTGTGTCTCTGTGTGTGTGTACATGTATGTCTATGTAAACCCCCCATAAACCTTTGCAATAGAAACAACGGCTAATATGTACTAATATGTAGCTCACAGCAATACATGCGTGCGTGTGCGTGTACACACACACATATCATTTGTGCATGCAAATGGTCAACACACTCGACTGCCATCTACTTCGGGAAACTCCAACATTGAGAAGCGTATGGGACACAGTTCTTCTGGACCCCCACAGTCCCCATCCAGGGTAGGGTTTGGGCTTTTCCTGTGTGTACTGCCCAGGAGGGGAAGTCGGGAGGGAGGGAGCCAGCTCAGAAGTGCGCTGCCTTCGGCACAGGTGCCAGCTGGGTGGTGGGCTCCCACCCTTTAGCCAGCGGTAATGGTAATGCTGTCCTTCTCCCTCCCAGAACCCCAGGCTGGAGAAGCCGGTGCTGCTCTCCCAGTTCTCCACCAAGATCCCCCGGGGGGAACTGGACATGCCCGTGGAGAATGGCCTCCGGGCTCCGGTCAGCGCCTACCAGTATGCACTATCCAACGGCGACGTCTGGAAGGTGCACGAGGTGCCGGACTACAGCTCGGCCTATGGCAGCCCTGGCCTGGCCGATGCCGCCCCGCCGTGGAGCGGCTACAAGGAGCAGAGCCCCCAGACGCTGCTGGAGCTGAAGCGGCAGCGGGCTGCAGCCAAGCTGCTCAACCACCCCTTCCTGAGCAGCCACCTGGGCGGCAGCATGGCCAGGACGGGCGAGGGCAGCAACGAAGGCAAGGCCCCCTTGATCGGGGGCAGAACTTCCCCGTACAGCAGCAATGGGACCTCAGTGTACTACACAGTCACCAGCGGGGACCCCCCGCTCTTGAAGTTCAAGGCGCCCATGGAGGAGATGGAGGAGAAGGTCCACGGCTGCTGCCGCATTTCCTAGTCCCTGAAGGCTGGAGGGTGGGCGGGGAGAGATGGCTGGCCAGCCGAGCGCCCCTGGTGGTGGATGGCTCCAAGCAGCTGCAGGGAGGTGGGCTTTGCTGTCCAGAGGAGTGCTGTCCTTACCTCTCACCCAGCTGCCCTGCCTGCCCCACCCCTCACCCCACCCCGCTTCCTGTTGCATTGTCCCACTGGCCTCCCCTGCTGTCAGATTTGGGGAGGGCGCGCTTGGGATGTCAGTTCTGCACTTGGGAAAGACTTCTCTGGACCAGTGCCCGCATGCCACACACATCAACACTCACCCTCAGCTTGAGCAGGAGGCACAGCCCTGGGCTTATGGGAAGCAGGTGGGGCTGAGTGAAACGGGAGGCTAGTCCCAAGAGTCCAGTCACCATTGCCACCACGGTGAGAGCCAGGGAGGGATCCCAAGACCCTGGCAGGCCGCTCGGGTGAGACCTGCAGCCCTGCTCACAGCATCCCATCACCGTCCACACCTGGCTAGGACCTCGAGTCCTCGTGTCTGGAGGGAGCCACAGGTGGAGGGGCTAGAGGAGGTGGGCGTGGCTCTGTTCCCCTTCCTTGCCCTGCTGAGAGCAGCCCTGTGCCCAGGCCAGGCACCAGCTGTGTGACCGACCACAGGTGGGAACGGCCGAGGTGGGAAGCGTGGCTCTCCCTTCCCTGAAGTGGCGAAGTCAGTGTCTGCTAAGAGCAGTTCCTTTGGGCTGCTGCCCTCCAGGGGGGGGTCCTGGGTTGACTTTCAGGGTCACAGTGCCAGTGGGTTGGTGTTGGGAAAATGAATCCGGGGAAGAGTTGGAGTCAGGAAGGTGTTTCCAGGGAGACGAGTGAGTTCACACTCTGAATTTCAAACGACCTCTCCCGGTACCACAGCAGAGCCCGGAGCCCCAGCCGGCCCTTGTGAATATCCAGCCCACCTCACAAAAAGTTCAGAATGACATGTGGCTGGGCCCCCTCTGCTGCCCCCTTACACATCCCTCACATGTGCAGAGTGTGCACGCAGGACCCTGGGCCCAGCTTCACCTTGGCTGAGTCCTTGGCGAGGCCTGGCCCTGGTGAGTCCCAGCCTGGCTCCCCACAGTGGGGGTGCCCCAAGCTCCAGCCCACGATGACCTTGTCAGACCTGGCACTGCATTCAGTGCCTGAGCTGGAGACGGGTCTCAGGCCAGTTCAGCCCCACCCAGATCCCCTGATGCTGGGAAGGGAAGGCCTCTCTGTCACTGCCCTCTACCTCCACGGGGACTGGGGGGGAGGTGGGCTCAGTCAATAGGTCCAGCCAACACCTCTTGGGGAAACTTCCACCCCGCAGGCCTGTCTCCTGCTGTGTGCGCCTTTTGTCCTAAAACTACCTCCTTCGAGCTCCAAAGGGCTCCCCCAGCTCCCAACGCTGGGGTATGGGGAATTAATCTGGGTTCATTTAAACCTTTTTTCTGAGCCTATGAGGAGTTCTCCCTGGAGAGGCTGGAAAAGCCCAACTTGTGCCACACCCCAGTGTTGGGGGTCTGCTGTCCCATGCCCCCAAAACCCAGAGAGGGAGCTGGGCCCTGAAGGACCGAGCTGCAACTGCACAGGAGCATGGTGGTTGTGGTGCAGCGGTTCTGGGAGCGCTGTGCCCTGGGTGTTCTGGATAGACTCAGTGAGGATCATAGCACCAGGACCCTGGGGCCTCGGCTGGTTTGGATCCCACCCTATCCTCCTGCCAACACCAGGCTACACCCCATCTAGGATCAGGGGAGGATTGGAGACCCTGGGAGTGGGGGTGGGGGAGCAGGGGGCGGCTGACACCAACACACACACCATAGGTTTTACTGCCAGACCTGGCTGCAAGGCAGGGGTGCAAGGGGAGCCTGGTGCTCCCCTGGTCAAAGTGAATGGTGCCGGATTTTCAGATCTGTGCTCGGATGCCTGGTGCACCGTGGGCATTCATGGCCTCCCTGAATCCGCTGGCTAAGCCTCCTCCCTGCATGTTTCCTGCCTTCCGGGCCATTCTTAAACCCTGAAGGCTGGGATACAAGCCCACGCCATGATAGAAGCAAACCTGAGACAGGTGCTGCTCCTGCACATCTGTACACTGAGGGACTAGCGGGGGTGGGGGTGGGGGTGGGGGGAGGAGGGGGAGTAGGGGGTGTGCAACCTCGGGTCTGGACCAGTCATTCGCTCCTCCGCGTTCTCAAGTAGCTGTGACCTGCCGACTACTATGCTAGGTTCTGGGGCTCGAGGATCCCCAGTGATGACCTTGAGGATCCCCAGTGAGGACCTTTCGTCCCAGCTGCCTCCCTTGATGACCATGGCATCAGCGCCCCCATCTGGTTACCTGGGGCAGTGACTGCATCCCTCTCCGGCATCCTTTTCTTGCCCGCTCTTCCAGGCCCTTGAGCTGAGCAGCAGCTGTCAGGGATGCCCTTGGGTCACGTGGATCACCACACAGAGATGCGGGATCTCGGGTTCCAGGCAGACACCATCCCAAACTATCCGGACCTTTCAGAGATAACTGCCGTCCAGCCAGCCTCTTGGGGAGACCATCTCCTAGGAGTTTGAGGTCATGCTCAGAGGCTGGCATTTGCTATCGAATGCGTCTCAGGTTCTTAAACACACTGTCCGTGTCAAGGAGTCTCACAGAGCCTCCCCTCCCTGTCCACCTCGGAGAGGAATAGAGGGTCACCTTTTACGGGAGAAACCTCACCTTTGGAGCCAGCCTCTCCCTGGCAGGTGAGGATCAGGGAGAGCTGGGTGGAGGCTGGCAAGGTCGACCAGATGCCCAGCGTCTGCTGAGCCCCAGGTCCCGGGGCCGCCTCCACCTGGAGTGATTGCTGAGTGCCAGCCCCTGCTGGGCATCTCATTGGGAGTTTCTGGACAGCCGTTCGGAGAGCCATACCTAGGCCTGTGCTGAAGGTTTGGGATGGAAGTCTCCGTCGGCTTTGCAGCACTGATGGGACTGGTCTGCACAGGGTGTGTCTGAGGCTCTGGCTCCCACAGTCTGCTTGGCTTTGTAACATCAAGGTCGCCGGAGTTAGAGGTGTCAGATACCTTTTGATCTTGAGCTCTTACCTGCCTGCTGTCTCCCAGGAGAGCTGCTGGACGCGTTCTCTTTCAAGGATGGACTGAATTTAACTTCTATGTGTAGCCTGGAACAACCCCCCACCGCCTTCTAGGGCACATACGAGCAGAAGGGTGTGTGGTTAGTGGATGACTCCAAGGGAGTGACCGCCCCCCTCCATGTCCCCTGCTGACCAGACGGCCCGCTTCCCACGGGCATTGCAAGTGCCATGGTGCGGGGCTGGGCTCTGCCACCCAGGAAGCGTCTGCAGAACCCCTCCAGCCCTGCGCAATAATCCACTAGACCAGAAGCCACTGATGTACAGAGAACACTTACAAAAATGTATTTTATGTGGGGGTGGGTGGGGCTGGGGGGGTGAACCTGTATACTGTATCAGCCGCTTTGTGTAAAAAATGGCAATCAAGAGAGTCTAATATATTTAAAACTTTTTTAAAAAAACAACCCCCCTTGCAGATCTTTGATATTGTACTGAAGTAACTTCGAGGGGGGCTCCTTGGCACGTGCCCAAGGCCGGGTCTACCCGCTGTCCAAAGGGGCCTGTCCCAGAGTTGCTTCTGCTGCCAAGCCCGTGATGAAATTCACTGTTAAGGGTTTTTAATTAAGATGATTAAATTCCTTTTAATAACACCTCTCTGTGTGGCTGTGGTCACTGTTCGTGCGAGCTGGACTGGGAGATGGATGGGCAAGGCCTCTTGGTTCCTGGCCCTGCCACTGAGGACTCTCCCGGAGGTCCCTGAAGCAGAGGGAGCGCTGAGGCTCAGGCGCGGAACAGATGCCTTGCTAGACGGGCACGTGGTGAAGCCTGGGAACTGAAGAGAAGGTGGGTGGCTGGGATAACCTTCACTCTGTCAGGGGTTCCTTGGGAAACCAGCATAGGTAATGGGAAACATATGCTATGGTTGGAATTATGCCCCCACCCAAAATATGTGTCATAAATTCTATCCTCCAGCCTTGGTGGCATAGTGTTGGGCTGCTAGCTACCAGGTCAGCGGTGCAAACTCACCCACTGTTCTGGGCGAGAAAGATGAGGCTTCCTGCTTCCAGTCAGATCTATAGCCTTGGAAATACCAGACAGCAGTTCTACTCCACCCTTGGGTGGCTGTGAGTCAGAGTTCATGGCAGTGGATGGGTTAGGCCTATGGTTACCATCCCTTTGGGGAACAGGTTGTCTTTGCCAGGTTAATAAGGTAGGATAAGTGTAGGTGTGTTGTGAGTTACACTCTCGTGAGATCCAGTACTGTTGGGTGCTATTCAGATGGTTCTGTCCTATTCAGAATGACCCTGCGCACCACGGAAGGACATCCTGCCCAGTCCTGTGCCACCCTCAGTCATCACTGTCCTTGAGCCCAGTGCTGCAGCCACCGCATCGGTCTATCTCATTGGGGGCCTTCCTCTGTGTCAGTCCAGGTAGATGAGAGAAACATCCATAGAAACTCATGTGGATAAGAGAGCATTTTCTATAAAGGGTCATTGTATGTTAAGAAAGCACCCCAGCCCAGCCCAGTCCAAGCCCGTAAGGCTGATATTAGCTCATAGGTCTGATACCAATCCATAAAGTCCTTTTCAGACTCACGAAACACACGCATGCAGGACGATCACAGGCCAGTGGGTGGAGCGTTTTGTGGATCCAGCAGTGCTGGAAGCACCTCAGCACCGGCAGGGGTCTCCATGTGGCTTCTCCAGGTCCATAGTGCGGGCTGCATCAGGGTAGGCCCATGTGGCTTCTCCTCAGGGATGTCTAGCAGGAAGTCAGCCTTGTCAGTAGAGCATCTCCAAAGGACTATCTTGAGAGAGTCTCCGGCCTCCAAGGAGGAAAAACCAGATTTCCCAGAATTCTCAGGAGAAAGCCATGCCCACACAGAGGTCTCATTGGCTATGATCTGATTGACAGACTAGACTCCACCCCTACACTCTTCATCCTCCGATTGACAAACGGTTGATTATATAACTACCACACTCTTTTTCAATGACCCTTTCCTAAGCATACCATCGTTTTGAGATAGGACGCGGGTTACACAAGCAAGCTAGGAGGGAGTGCTGGGGAAAGATCAACGCTGCGCACATGGGGACCTCCATGGAGCCAGGAAACAAGCTCAAGAGACCAGGGCCTTCCGCCGAGAAAACAGGGAAAGGCTTCCCCAGAACTTGGACTTTAGCCTCCTGTGTTAGTCCGGGTAGACTAGAGAAACAAATTTATAGACATGTGTTTAAGAAAGAGCTTTAAACACGAGAGCAATTGAATATTACGAAAACATCCCAGCCCAGTCCAGATCAAGTCCGTAAGTCCGATATTAGCCCACATGCCCGATACCAATCTATAAATTCCTCTTCAGACTTATGATACACATGCAATGATGCGGAATGCAGGAAGATCACAGGCCAGTGGGTGGAAAGTCTTGTGGATCCAGTGGAGGTGTAAGCATCTGAGCACTGGTGTGGGTCCCCACGTGGCTCCTCCAGCTCCCGGGCTGTAGCATAGCTATATGTATCTTGTCATCAGGAATACCAAGCAGAGAAAATGTGTGTCCTGCTTCCAGTGAGCTATTTGTCTCCATAGTGCCTCTAAATTAGGACATCAAACAGCGACCTGATTGACAGGCTAAACTCCACCCCTTCACTCTGAATAGTCTCAAGTTGGCACCAGATTATCTAACTACCACACCTCCTAACTGTGAGACTAAATTGCTTTTTGTTAAAGCCTTTCCCTTGTACTTCTGAAATAACAGTATCAGATAACTAAGCATGATTCATATATATGTATGTGTATACACATAATACATTACACACATACACATGTGGTAAGTAAAGTATCACGCCTAGCGTTCTACTTCATACATGTTCTGGTTTGTTCCAAACAAAGTGCATTTAAATGAGTCTCTGCAATCAGTGGGTGGCTGCAGACAAGTTCAGTAAGACCTTGATCTTAGTCTCATTAGGGCGCCTTACCAAAAAAGTCTAGTTAAATTGAAGATGGAGAGGTCAGCTCAGGTTATGGGGACTGTTCCCCAGGATCCTAGGAGTCATGGAGATCGACTCTCTTGAAAGACGCAGGTCAATCAGGTGGGGGGCTTATTAGGAAGAAGCTTTAAGAACATTGGAAAGGGAATTGGTGAGAAAAAGCCCCAGAAGGTGGTGCTGAGGAATTTCTTGTTCAGCACAGCAAGGCACTCGCTCATTCTTCAAGGATAGCAAGAGCTGTCCTAGGAGCAGAGTTTTGGGAAATCTGACCCTGTGCACCCTATAGCCCGGCTCTCGCCCCTTCAGGCTTCTTTTGGTTCCTCAACCTCAGATAACATTGAAAAGAAACAGCATTTGAGTTCATCGAGGACGCCCACACTGCTGTTCCAAGGTGCAAATCGAAGGCCACAGAGTTCTTTTTTTTTTTTTTTTTTTAACATTTTATTAGGGGCTCATACAACTGTTATCCCAATCCATGCACACATCAATTGTGTAAAGTGCATCTGTACATCGTTTCTCAAAACATTTTCTCTCCATTTAAACCCCTGACATTAGGTCCTCATTTTCCCCCTCCCTCCCTGCTCCCCCCTCCCTCATGAGCCCTTGATAGTTTATAAATGGGTATTTTGTCATATCTTGCCCTGTCCGACGTCTCCCTTCATCCACTTTTCGGTTGTCTGTCCCCCAGGGAGGAGGTCACACACAGTTCCATGTAATCGGTTCCCTCTTTCCTACCCATTCTCCCTTTACCCTCCCTCTTTTGCCACTCACACCACTGGTCCTGTAGGGCTCATCCACCCTGGATTCCCTGTATTTTCAGTTCCTATCTGTACCAATGTACTTCCTCTGGTCTAGCCAGACTTGCAAGATCGAATTCGAGTCATGGTAGTGGAAGCGGGGAGGAAACATTTAGGAACTAGAGGAAAGTTGTATTTCTCATCATTGTTACATCGCACCCTGACTGGCTCATCTCCTCCCCGAGACCCCTCTGCAAGGGGATCTCCAGGGCCAGAGAGTTCTTGGGGGAAGTGTTACAGAGCTGGAAATGCTGCCTGTAGAGACTGCAGACCTAGTTGGAGGATGTGTGAAGACCTAACAGAGGCCCATTTTGATATTTTGTTTTAAAAGGTTTCTATGATCTTGTAGCAATACCTTTTGATTCATCTCATATAAAATATACGCTATATACCTTCAGAGATTTCTCTGTTACTGTCTCTCTATTGTCAGGTGCAGTGGAGTTGGTTCTGGCTCATATCGACACGATGTCCAACAGAGCAAGACGCTGCCCTAGCCCTGCACCATCCTCACAGTTGTTAGGTTTGAGCTCATTGTGGCAGCCACCATGCCAACCCATCTCTTCAAGGGCCTTCTTTGTGGCTGTCCCTCAGCTTTACCAAGCATGATGACCTTCTCCAGGGACTGGTCTCTCTTGACCACATGCGCTCCTCATCCCTGTTCTCTTCTTAGACTGTACTGTTTGTCCTGTCCCCTTTCCTCTGAGCCCGTCCCCAAACTAAAAACCAAACTCAGTGCTCTCAAGTTGATTCGCACTCATGGTCATCCTATAGGACAGAGTAGAACTGCCCCGTAGGGTTTCTGAGACTAAATCTCTATAGGAGCAGACCGTCTTACTGAGCGGCTGGTGGCTTTGAATCGCCCACTGTGTCAGGCACCAGCGACACCTATCTATGGACAAGAAAGAACTTTATATCAAGAAGTAATTTCATATCAAAAAGGCATTCTAGCCCACTCCAACGTTTAAGTCAGTAGGTCGGATGCTAGCCAAGGGCCTCTTCAGACTCATGTTGATGCAGGCCAACGACATAGAGAGGTGAATGGGGATCAGGGAGAACACAGGCTGGTGGGTGCACAGTCACGTGGATCCAGTTTCCATCGTGATAGAAATACTGTGGGGCGCCCACAGCACTTAGGGTCAAGTAGCCCACATGGGGCTGCCCACACAGAGTCCCAGCAAGGATGAAGGTGAAGGGCAAGAGAGAAGGAGAAACCCCGAGGGTCTCTCCTACAAAGAGGCCACACTTCCAAGGAGGTGTTGTTAAGCTGCGACCTGATTGGCAGTTTGGACTCCACCCCTATACTTTCACACAAATTCAAGTTGACATAAAATCTAACTACACACCCTGCTTGCATTTCGCAGCGCAGTGCTTAGGCCACCGTACCATGAGTCTCCGCAAGATATACCGGGGAGGGAGAAGACTCTATACTCCTTCACCTTGTTAAACTATCAAGTAAGACCCTGATTGTTTCCATTGTTTTAATCTCCGGCTATAAAGGCACTGACAAGCTATGTGGCTGCACACGCCTAGGCCTCGTCCTTGTCCTATGCAAAATTGTACTGGTGTTCCCAGAGAGGATGAAAAGGGAGCTCTCTCCCACCCGCTCATCTAGGTGCTGGATTCTAGAGCAAACACACAACCCTCACTGCCATCAAGTCGTTTCTGACTCATCGTGACCTTACAGGGCAGAGTAGAACTGCCCCTTTGGGTTTCTGTGCCTTTAAATCTTTCTGGGAGTAGAAAGTCTCATCTTTCTCTCGGGGAGCGGCTGGTGGTTCCGGACCCTGGCCTTTGAGTTGGCAGCTCAACATGGAACCCACAACGCCACCAGAGAGACCCGTCAGGCCCCAAACATAGGCTTAATAAAGATTCATCATCAGCTTTGGGGTAAGGAGAGGTTGGGAAAACAAGGAGATGTGTCTCAGCAGCAGCTGACATTCAATTTCAAGTTGATTTCCTCCTAGTGATGGCAAGCTCCTGCCCGAAGCCTTGTCCAGGTGTGCATATGCCATCACGTACACAAACAGGATGAGGTGGGGACGTCGACTGTTGGATGGAGCAATGTGAAACCAGGAGTGGTGGTATAGAGCAATAGGGTCCACAACTAACGATAAGGACACATAGGCATGTAGACCGATTGGAGGTTCAAGTGCGGGTTGGAGGAGGAGAATGGAGACCGTAAGCTCAGACCACACTTTCAGGGTAGCTCTGGACGGAGGTAGACAGACTCAGGGGGATTGTTTTGAGATGAGAAAGACCTCAGCATGTTTGTATGCTGACAGGAATGGAGCAGTGAACATAACCCAGGAGAGAGAAGAGAAGAGATGGAGAGAGATGAATTAGACGTCCAGGGGCTAGGATGGAAGACGCCCTGATGGTGTAGTGGGTTACGCATTGGGCTGCTAAGATCAGCAGTTTGAAACCACCAGTTGCTCTGCAGGTAAAGACAGGGCTTTCTGCTCCGGCAAAGATGATGCATATTGTCTTGGAAACCTACAGGGGCAGTTCTGCCCTGCCTTATAGGGTCACCACGTGAGGCAGAATCAACTCGATGGCAGTGAGTGTCCGGATGGAAGGGTTGAATTTAGGGCATAGGGGCAGGCGTCACAGGTTCTTGGACAAGAGATGCAGACAAGCAGGTGGATCTGCTGGGAGCACGTTGTCTTCGGACTGGTTCTGCTCAGTGCAACAGGAAGCACGTTCTCATGAGAGTGAGGAGACAGAAGAGGTAGAGTGAGCAAGGAGGGGACATCTCAGGTTAGCAGGCAGCCTTCAGGGCTCGCGTGACCATGAAATCACGAATTTATAACAGGAGCAGCAAAGGCGCATGCTTTTCTCCAGCGGGGTGCTGGGGGGAGTGGAGGGGGAAATAAGAGCTGAATTTAACCAATCAGAGTTGGGGATTTGCCAGACAAAGCCAGCTACTTGAAGGTGTAATCAAAGGAGTAGTTACAGGGATGGATGCATTTATTTATGTATTTTTAACGAATCATTAAGGCAACATGGCTAGGCACACGGAGCTTTAAGACCCTGGAAGCCAAAGGCAGGTACGTTATTCTGACAGCCTACCTCTGACTGCCCCTGGCCAGGTGAAACGAGCTGCGGGGCGGACGGCAGGGGGCGCGCTAAGATAACCCGGGATCGAACTGCCGCCTCCGCGCAGGTTCCCCGCCCAGCGCCACCACCCAGCGCCCCAAAGCGGCTCAGGGTCCTCCCTGGCTCCCCACAAAACGCACACGGAGTAAACCCAGGGCAAACCAAATAAAGCCATTGCCCCCAGCCGAGTCCGATTCATAGCGACCTTATAGGGCAGAGTAAAAGTGCCCCCAAACAGTTCCTAAGGCTGCAAATCTTTATAGAAACGGACTGCCACGTCTTTCTCCGGTGCTGATGGGGTCCAATAAAGCGTCGCCACCGCGCCACCAGACCTCCTTGTACACGGAGAAACCAATCTGTTGCCATCTCACTAATTTGGACTCATAGCGACCCTATCTACACAGGGTTTTCCAGACAGCTGTGCGAGAGCAGACAGCCTCACCCTCTCCTAGAGCAAGCTGCTGGAAGGTTTGAACTATCGACCTTAGGTTAGCACGCCAACGCTGACCTAACAGCTTCACCAGCACATGGAGGGGTTATTAGGTGCTGTGGTATCGGTTCCGACGATGGAAGGAAACATCACTATCCTCACAATTGTTGTTTAAGCTCATTCTTACTGCCATTGTGCCAATACATCTAATTGAGGGTTTCCCTCTTTTTCACTTATGTCCTTTTCCGGGCATTGGTCGCAGAATAGCAACCCAAGCCAAACCCAAATAGCCAAGTTTAAATCCCCAGCAGTAACTCCGGCAGCAGAGCCTGGGCTCCGCAGCGACTAGCAGCCAATGCCAAGGCGCGGGGGGAGGGCCGGCTTTGTGAGGCGACCAATGATACACCAGGAGGCGGGGCCTAGAGGCGCATGCTCGGATCCCTACTCCAACGCCGGCTTTGGGGCGGAGCTAACTAGAAACCCAACCAATGGGAGGCCGTGGAGGGGCGGTACGGCCAATGGCGCGGGCCGGTTTGATTCAAAGGTGCCTATAAAGGCGGTCCGCACCCTTCTACTCCCCCGAACGTGCGGTCCGTTCATCTTGCGGCCATGGCTACGCGGTTCGAGGTCCTGGACGAGCTGCCCGCTGCCTGTTTGTCGCCGTGCGGGCCACCCAACCCGGCGGAGCTGTACAGCGAGGCGCATCGCCTGGCGCTGGAGGAGCTGGTGACCGGCGGACCTGAAGCTTTCGCGACCTTCTTGCGCCGCGAGCGCCTGAGCCGTTTCTTGAACCCGGACGAGGTGCACGCCATCCTGCACGCGGCCCAGCGGCCTGGCGAGGAGGGCGCGGCGGCCGAGGCCGAGGACTCCTTCAGCTCTTCGCACGACTGCTCGTCGGGCACCTACTTCCCCGAGCAGTCGGACCTGGAGCCGCCGCTGCTCGAGCTCGGCTGGCCCTCCTTCTACCAGGGCGCCTACCGCGGTGCCACCCGCGTCGAGGCGCACTTCCAGCCGCGCGACGCCGGCGCCGGCGGCCCCTACGGCTGTAAGGACGCGCTGCGCCAGCAGCTCCGCTCGGCGCGAGAGGTGAGCCGGCCGCGCGGTACCGGCGGGCGCCAAACCCTCCCCAAGAATGGGAAACTGGCCTGCTGGGAGCGCGGGTCGGGGTCCACTGGCTCCTCTGCGGACCACCCTAAGCACCGGCCGGGTGGCCCCCACACCCTCTCCCGGTTACCGTGGCACAGGAGAACGGGTGGTGGGTCCCTCGGTCCCCAGGAACGCGAATTGTGCCTGTCATCTGCCGGGCTTCCACTCCCAGGACCAAAACCCCTTCCGGTTCCAAATAACGTATGAAACCGAACCAGACTGCCAATTTTCCTGGCTGCCAGCCCACACTTGACCTCACTTGCCAGAACCTCCTATAAGACGCGAATTAGGACAAAGGCACATTTCCTAGGGGAAACGTTTTGAGAAAATGCATGAGCCCGAGGTTGGCCTGTGGGCAATGCTATGTGTCAAGTCAGTCGGTTGTGATTTATAGTGACCCTATAGGACAGTCATTAGAGCTGCCCTGTAGAGTTTCCAAGGTTGTAAACTTTACCAAAGCCGACTGCCACATCTTTTTCTCCACCAGAGCAAACTCTGTTATTGCTAGTCACCTCCACTCTGTAGAAAGCAAAACCAAACCTAGGCCATGCCCACTCACAGAGACCCAGTGGGACACGGTAGAATTGCTGGTGTGAGTTTTCCAATACTAACTTTACAGGAGTAGAAGGCCCAGTCTTCCTCCTGCAGAGGCCGGTGGCTTCAAACTGCTGACCTGGCAGTTTGCAGCTCTACGTGCAACCACCACACCACCTGCAGGGCTCCTGTAGAAAGTTAAAAAGTTCCTGAAAGACAAGGGCGAGTCCCTTCTGCCCAAGGTTGGAGTGGAAGCTGCTGCTGTGAATGGCTGGGGCAGGGGTTGGCTGTTCATAGGAAGCAGGCTACCCCCATTAGCTGGAGCCTGTTGTCATCAGGCTGATCCCCACTCACTGAGACCCCACGTGTCACAGTAGAACTGTGCTCCACAGGCTTTTCAGGGACAGATTTTCCAAAGTAGATCACTGAGGTGCCTCTGCGTGGACTTGAACTGCCAAACTCACCAGCCGTAGACGACCAGCAAGCAGTGCAGAGAGCCCAGGCTGCATTCGATCAGCCTCATTGGTCACAGTCTGTTTGACTTTGAGGGTGGTGTGTGTTAGTGTGCCTGCCAGCCAGAATGAGGCACCTGGGGATCCAGGAGGGAGAAGGCATCAGGGAAAGTGGGTGGGGGTCCAGATGGCGGCAGACAGCCCAGAGCCATGGATAGTTAGCGGCCACCTTGCTTGCTCTTTGGCTGTCTGTCTAGGCATGAGAGGTGAATCCAAGGCCATGGTACAATACAAGGCTGGGACCTGTGCCTCGAGCCTGGGTTAAAATACCTGTGCAGCTCGTCTGATAGAAGCAGCCAGACCTGAGAACAAACAAACGATCAGTCCCTGAAGTTGGTTCTCTGCTCATCTGCCGAGTTAGAGGTCTCTGTGCTGGAGGATCTAGTGAGCCTTACCTTTGGGGGAGTGGACGTGAGGTCCACCTAGGCTGAGCGTCCCTTTGACACAGCAGACACTTTCCTTGTGGGTTTTAGTGGGATTATTAATCCAAGGCTGGGAAAAGGCAAGATTTGCGGGGAGGCAGCCGGTCCCAAAGCTCACCTTCAGGAGAACGTGTGCACCTGGAGAGAGAGGGAAGCCTTGAGTGGGCCTCAGGGAAGGGGAGCTATAGGTGGCTGTGGAGGGGGGCTCACTGGAGCTTCAGGCCAGAGGGGCGCTGTTCTCTGAAGTCCTGCCTGACTCAGAAGGGGACAGGGGCTGACGCTCTAACCACCTCCGTGCTCTGGGCATCTGAACTACTGACACACTGGATGGGAAACTCCTGCCCCCATGACTTGCCTCTCTGTTCTGTGGCTGAAGCCCAGCGACAGACCCCTCATTCTCCAAAATGGTGTATTTGGAGCCTGGGATTTTCTGCCTGTGTTGTTGTCCGATGAGAGAGAGAGAGATTCGCCATAAAACAGTTAACACGAGTTTCATTTTCTGCTGGTACATGGCCTTCAAGGGCCTTTACCTGTGTCTTTGCAGTGCACTTGCCATGTGCCCCATTGTTTGCTTACACTGTACATGCTGTGTGTCGGGCATTGTGCCCACAGGTGGAGGGCATAATCCTAGCTAGCTCGTGAGAGCCGAGGCTGCCATTGGGAGCCGGGAAGACGGTGCTATCTGAGGGCAGGGCTGAAGGGACAGTGGTACTGACCAGGTACTGGGTCTGGGTGGATGGGCAGGGCTTGCCAGGCTCAGAGGCTAGGGAGCAGAGGTCAGGTTAGGTTGCTGGTAGGAAGCTGAAGGGTGGGGGTGGGCGGTGGGGCTGGAGCTAGACTCACTGGAGGGCCTTATCCAATGGGGGAGATGGAGAGCCCTGGAAGATTTAGAGCAGTGGTTCTCAACCTTTCTAATGCCGCGACCCTTTCATACAGTTCCTCGTGTTGTGGTGACCCTCAACCATAAAATTATTTTCATTGCTACTTCATCACTATCATTTTGCTACTGTTATGAATCGGGCGACCTCTGTGAAAGGGTTTAGAGGGTTTAGAGGGAGCAGCAGCGCAGGATCAGAGTGGTGCTGCTAAGTAGTCATTCTGGAGGTAGCACGGAGGAGGAATGGGTTAGAGACGGCTGGGACTGGTACAGAGATGCTTGTAAGGAGGAGGCCATCGTAGTCTACACCCACTCTTCATTCATCAGCATGCTGAGATTCCAAAGCTCAGGTCCTTATGCGAAACTGAGGCTGGCCCTACAAAATGGAGGGTGACTACACTGTTGCACAACTCCCAAGTTACAACATCAGGTAACTGCCAAGTGCCTGAGAACTGGGGCCCAGCCGAGTTGACACAACTGTAACCCATTTGCCCTTGCCTTGTACCTTTGCGTTCATGACAGCCTTCATGCGCAACAGGGGCAGAGTGTTAGCATTTTACTCTTGTCAGACCACCCCATCGTGACTAATGGGGAATAGGTGTGTGTATGAGAAAGGCGGGGGCTGGGGGTGGGCGCAGTGAAAGAATTTGAGATGGTGGAATGGACAGGGCTTGGGGATGGGATAGACCGGGAGGGGACAGGAGTGCCCACCTGGCTGGGGAGAAGAAGGTGTAGGAAGCGCTGAGGAGGATTGAAGGGTTTTTTTGCTTGGATGTACATAACAGGACAGAACTGGAATGTAAAGGAGAAGGAGGCCGAGGGTAGGCCTGGTGAGAAGACCTACATCTGAGGTCCCTGAGCAGATCCCTTATTTAAAATCCATGGGGAACAATGCTTTCTGCTTGCCCCACAATTCGCCCATATGATAACAGGTGGCGATCATTTATTTGTGTTCTACAGATGATGAAGTTGCTTCAAAGTTGTCCCCGTTAAGGAATGGCCAGGCACAGGGTCTTTAGCTACTGGCCACCACCGGCTCTGCCCAGTGTCTGTGGCGGTAAGGAGTCCTCTCTGCCCCCTCCCTTCCCCCAGCAGCTTGTCCTCACGTGGGCAGAGAGGGAGCAGAGTGCTAGTGTAGCAGCAGGGAGGCCTGAGAAGATGGGGGTGCTTGACATCTGTGTGTGGACAGCAAGAGCACTTCCTGACAAAGGACTGAGCCCTCCCAGCAGGCCAGTCCCGGCCTGTGCTTACCCCTTCTCCTGGGTTATCTCTGGACCCTCCCAGCCCTTGGAGGAGGCTGAAGAAAGACCAGGCTCCGAGAGGTTCAGGGCGGGTGCATGACCAGGCTGCCTGGCTCTGGGGCCCAGCACTCAAGGCACTACTCCACTGCCCCCCCCAGCATGTCCTGCGGCTTCTCAACCCGCTGCAGACCTTCCGCGGCTTCTGAAGACAGGCTTTTACAGCTGCACGTAGCAGAGCCTATAAATAGCGAAACGCTCGCTCTGCCCTTTTCAGGAAAAAAGACTGCGGTGACCTGTTTGAAGGAGGACGTAGGCAGGCAGCCTGCAGGGGACAATGACCTCCAGGACCCATCAGTTCAGGAGAAGGGACCGTGCCAAGTCCTGTCTGCACCAGCCCAGGAGGACATGGGCCCCCCTGGGTGTGGGCTTCATAAATCAGGGTGCATTCTCCCCACCCTGGGAAAGGCATCCCTCAGTCTGTCTGGGGGCTGGACCGGAGCAAGGCTGCTTTGGAGTCTTCTGGTGGGTGAAGGAAGGGCTTTGTATCGGCTCAGGATGACGCCACATAAAGGGTCGCAGGTAATGACCCCACAAGTTAGAGCCGGCTGCACTGGCCCCACGTGCAGGCTGCCCCCTCACCTGGGTCTTTGTCAGGCCGGCTTCCTGCATCAGGGCTCCAGACTTCAGAGCCCTTGTTTTTACCAGCAGCCTGCTCTCTGGCAGTGCAGTGGTTACGTGTTGGCTGCCAGGGTAGATACCACCCCCACCCAACCTCTGTGGGAGACAGACTGGGAGGTCTGTTCCTGTAAAGGTCTTGAGTGAGGGTATTGGCGATCTCCTTATTGTGTCAGATCACATCACAGGTCACAGGGGTGACCTCCTCATTACTGAACTGCCACGCCACTGAGAAGCAGGGCCCAGCCAGTTTGACACATATTTTGGGGGGCCCACAATGCAGCCTTTGCCGTGAGTAACTGAAGCAGTGGAACACACTGCAGTGGTGCCGAGGAATGAGAACTAGCTCAGCAGAATCCTGCTACAGCAGCACCCAGGACTCCTCACACGTGTCACCAGGCCTCTCAGTGCACATGCGGTTTTTAAATAAAGTTAAATGCAGTGACAAAATTCAGTTCTTCACTCACACTGGCCATATTTCAAGAGTTCCACAGCCACATGTGGCTTGGACAGCACAGCACTTCTATCATCTCAGAAGCGTCCGAGTCTCGTTTTAGCAGGAACTCTGAGTCCGGAAAGTTCTGGCTGAGTCTTGTTCTAGCGCGAGTCTAGAACAACATGTATGGTAGAGCCAGCGACAACCTAGAACATGTATAGCACTGACAGCACAAGTCTAGAG